TTATTTGCGCAATGCAACAGTCTTCCCTACGCGGTAATAATCTTTCGATTTCCGATAAGACCACGTCACGAATGCCCTCCCATCAACTTTTCCTTTGAAGTGGAAATTGTTCACAATTATCCAACGTAAATTCGAGGACAAACGAGCAAGAGAAAGTTGCACTGAACGTGGGAAAATGTGTAAAAGCATTAAAAGGTCTAGAAATCCCTTGTTTAAGCACACCGCGTCTTCTAATACGAAAATGAAAATTTATCCTTTCTTTTTTGCTATTCTGCTCAGTGTTTCGCGTCTAAGGCATTGTTTTGGCTCAAGTTGACGCCAAAAGTCATGACGGGGTTGTCCTAATAACCTGGACATAAATCACTAAGAAATGGAATAAATGATCCTTTGAGAATATGTAAATACTACGCGATTTAGCATAATTCGATGTCAAATAATCTATTTCATGTGCTCGAGTATTGCAAATAAACCAACCTTTATTAAATTGTCACACACTTTTATATATTTAACCGCGCATTTTTTTGGGGTTGAGTTTTCCACTTTAGTAGCATGAAGAGAGTGATGGATTTAATCTTGGTCGGCTTAATCTTGACTTCTGAATAGAGTGCTAAACAATTATTTGCGTGTAATATCTATTCTAGAGCCAAGTCATATAACAATGATCATATTATTTTAGGAGGCACCTTGCACCAATTCTTTGATTTACGGTTAAATACGCCATACATTTATTGTTATATATCTTATTTCTGGATAAAAAACCGACTATGTACAAACTCATTTAGAATTTGAATAATAGAATGGATAGTATAGCATGCTTATCTCCATATAAAAGTAATTAATATACGTGTATATTTTTTATCGCTACATACTCCTGTCAAATGGTTTGCTAGAAGGACAAATGACAAAGCTTTTAAGAAAAAAACTCCTTAAATATGAGAGTGTTCCCAAACCACCAGTGCTTATTAAACAAAAATTTATTTATGCTAATTAACTTAAAGTTATTTAGGGATTGTGAGGGCAATTTTTCCCACAATAAGTTGAGTAGGTCTCTCGATACTCCATTAATCCTTAAATCCCTTGAGTGACCCAGACTAAAAAAGTTCTTTTTTATGGAATATATTTAACTCCGTTGATTGCAATGATACAGGAATGTTTGTCTCATTGATAATTCCATTTAAATAATTATTCGGGAGAGGACTGACTTTCCTTAAATGGCTTATCATCTCTTTACTCTAATGGATAAGTAGTACAGTGGTAATGTCTCTACACGATACGTAGAATCAGATTTATAGTTTCTTAGCAAGTGCTAAAGTGGAAGTAGGCTAAAGTTGCCGTCTAGCCTTTTGAGAGGCAATGCCAAGTGAAATTCAAAGGTTAACTGTACAATTGTGTAAAAAATCCACCATCCCTCCTAAAGTTAACCTAATGAAATATGTTGACTCAATTTATATACAAAAATGATTAAAAGATAGTAAATACAATGAATTCTACAAGAATACTATAAGTAATGTCTCATTTGCGATCCCAAATAAGTACGTTTTGATGCAAATACCCTGGGCCTTAGAGCATACTGTTGAGATTAAAGTTTAGCGTTTTATTACAATTATTATTATAGGATTAGCTAGTGACTGAATAAAAGTAAAGTAGTATGCCAGCGTACCTACGCAAGAAAAAGAAATTCCGGGCATCTGTTTGTGGCGCTTACAATTGTGTGATGCCTTTAATATATCTATACTATATATTTTTAATATATAAACATATTTTGCAATATTGCAATGCATAATAATGATAGTACATTAAATCCAGAATATGCATAAGTTTTAAGAATTTCCTTACATTTAGACAAACACCTCTATCATCCCAAAATAAGGGATGAATTTCTGTGACTTCCAAAGAGTGACGTATTTCGAGTAAAAAGTTGGAGAGCCTAGATTAAATCATGAATATACACAGTCTTGACTAAAAACCCAAATTCCGGATAAACCACCTGAACTGTCGAGCCATCTGTTTATCGTATCAATTCAAAATTTATGCTAAATTGTATAATCTAATAACAAGGATGCACCTTTTGTACTGGTCCATAAATATCCACTGTAAATCGCGACAAGGATATATGAAAATCTTTAGCCAACAAAATTTACAATAAACTCGCACTTCACACTTTGCAATCGCTCTGCTATGAAATTACCTTAGGCACAGTAATGCGCCTGCACATAGACCTAAGCTAGTTCGCCTGGATTAGACTGCATGTTTGATAATAAGAATGAATAGATACAATTTCCTAAAGACCGAAAACCGGGATTTCGCTTCACCAAAGCTGAGTAACTGCTTATTAGCACAATAACTTTACTGTCTGATGCAATTAATTATTGCCAATCACATTTTATTATAATCCACCCCTCTGTAGTCTCTTCTTTTTAGTCATTTATGCTATTTACATTCCATTTCATTCCATTTACATTACATTTACATTATTGCATTCACATATAGTAAGCTGTATCTTTTTGGTCTCATTTTTTGCCTTTTAATTTCACTCATTTTTTTCTAGTGCATTTTCCTTTGGCCTATCATGCCTTATTTTGAAGTACTAGCATCATTCGAATGCTTTTTTATTTGTTTTGTCATATTAAATAATGATATACTTGATATCATTATATCATTTTTTCAAGAGTTTATAATATATCTTTAGCTAATTAATGATATTTCATGCATTTATGCTCAAATTGATTGTAATAGAGTCTTTCTATTTCTATTACACTAGTTACAGCTTGCTTATTTTGTAATTCTAAGTTGAACAGCTATAATCTTAACTGTAACTCCATTCTAATATATTGTGTTTTATTTTGACACTTTTGCTTTATGCTAGATAATCTTCCTCTTCATATCTATCAGTACCAGATCCAATGCTTTACAATCGATCTTTGCCATTCATTTCACATCCATTACATTATGTTAAACGTAGTTTTAAATATATGCTTCATATTATTTCGCATTCAGAACCAACTTATTCACATCCATGTGGGCCAGGCTGGAATTCAGATGGGCAATGCACTCTGGGAATTATACTGCATGGAGAATCAAATTCACACTGACGGCCAACCTCTGGCTAGGGATGGTGACACTTTGCAAGCTATTGGAAACCAGTATGATTGTGCCAATCAGCAGGGCCAATTCTCAAAGTCTGAGAAGTTAGAAACTCAGAACACCGGTGATGGGGCAAGTGGAGATCCTGGACAAGGTAAATTTAAACCCTCAAATATAGAAATATCAGTTAGCTTCAGTTAAAGTGGCCGATTGTCCCTTTCAGTGCCCTCCAAAGAAGTCATCAAACGGCCGTCGCTCACAGAGGGCTCTCATAGCTCCACAACTTGCGTCTATGAGACATTGTTCAATCTGTCCTCTTTGGGCAAATACATACCTCGTGCGATCCTCGTTGACGCTGATCCAACGACCGTAGGTAAGCTAGTTTTACTTCATTTTCAATTGACTTCTCGTGCACACGTCCAGGTAGTTTTCGGAATAAATTCATTTACTCCTCTATTAAACCTATGTTCAAACTGTTTTCTCATATTCAGATTAAGTAGGTCTCGAAACTAACAGTAAGTCCTGAATAAGAGCTGTATTAACTCTCGGCAGCATAAGTTGATGAAGGACTGACAGTTGAATTCTCCCACGATATTATGAGTAGGCGTTAAAATACAACTTAACATAGCAAAGCCTTGTGCCCCATAAGGTATTTACATTCATTTTGGACGGCAATTTCGGCTTCGGTTGTCGTTTCTTACAGAAGGAAATCTTCATAACGCAAGTAGATTATGCTAAAACCCATGCGTATAAAATAACACAAAACTAATTTTTTTAATGACCCCCAACTTTTACGATAATTATATTTAACGTCAAGAAAACAATTAATTATTGATTACATAATGATAAATAGGTATATGTTCAACAGTAAATTTATTATTCGTAGTTAGATAAAACAGATAATTCCGAATAGGATAGAGTTAATAGACGGTAATGCATTTTTAATGAGTAGGTTTTCGAGGCTATAGTTAATGAATACAAACTGTGGCCAACTTAGATTAATTAAGGTTATAAAGCACTGATGGTGAATTTTCCAAAACTGCTATTTGTAGGCCTCATGATGCTACTGAGTTCGTTTGGCCCAACTTCCAAAACGGTATTATTATTCCAACTGGAATGCATCTTCGACCTCGGAATCAAAAACAATCGCTGTATATACGATCGAAATGCAGCTTTGGAAAAGGCTCCTTATCTTACTAGAACAAGTTGTAATTCAGGCGTTTGGCGTCAATACGACGTTCAGGTTGAGGCAGTCCACTAGACATCCTCCAACGTTTCGGGCGAAGGATGTCTCGCGTACTGCATCAGCCGGAACGTTGTATTAAGTCCAAACGCCTACATTACAACTGGAACCAGCCGACTTGTTATGGTGAGATTGATCTACGAATCTCCTCATCACGTACTTCCATACGAGATGAAGTCTTTACACAAAAGATAATCGCTGCATTCCCCGGGTTTGAGTGACACTTTGGATGACGATGAAACCGAGGCGAGGCCTAAATTACAGTCCAAAGTAGTCAGGATAGAAAGTTTTTTTTGGAGATAAGGGTAATTGAATTCCAATGTAGATACAAAAAGAAATTGGGTTTCGATGAATCTCCTGAGATAACATTGTTGGAGGTACTTTCATTTCGTATGTAAGTGCATGAAGAAGAGATTCGTATGTCAATCTCACCAGAAGAGGACGGATGAATCCCGTTGTGCTGCAGCTGTTTGGCTTTAAGGCGACGTTCAGGTTGATGCCCTCCACGAGTCCTCCTCCCTCGTTTCGGGTGGAAACGGACATCTTCAAAGCTGTGACTCAGTCTTGTAAAAGTCCATCGTTCTTGTTAACGGGAGACTTTTACAAGAATGGGATCCAGCTCTGATGATGTCCACCATATGATGAACGAAAGCTTAACCCGTTTTCACCCGAAACGAGGGAGGAGGTCTCGTGGACTGAGGCAATCTGAACATCGTATAAAAGCCAAACAGCTGCAGGAGAAACGAAATTCATCCGCCCTATTTTGGTGAAATCGGTCTACGAATCTCTTTTTCATGCACTTTCATACGAAATGAAAGTCCCCCCAACAAT